GAGCTGTGGCCGTAAGGTGGTCGGTGCCTGTCGCGGCAGCAATCCCCGAACCCACTGGCGGACACCAGCGGTGAGGGATGCTGTCAAGCTGAAGAAGGAGTCCTATCAGGCCTTTTTGTCCTGTGGGACTCCGGAGGCAGCTGATGAGTACCAGTGGGCCAAGCGGAACGCGACTTCGGTGGTCGCTGAGGCAAAAACTTGGGTATGGGAGGAGTTTGGTGAGGCCATAGAGAAGGACTTCCGGATGACTTCGAGGAAATTCTGGTCCACCATCCGGCGGCTCAGGGCAGAAAAGTGGTGCAGCATCAACACTGTTTATGGTTGGGAACAGTGGACCAGCTCTATACTCTCAGCAAGGTCCTGAAGGGTGAGTGGGAGTTTGCCCAACCAGTCTACATGTGCTTTGTGGACTTGGATAAGGCATTCGATCGCATCCCTTGGGGAGTCCTGTGGGGAGGGCTCCGGGAGTATGGGGTGACAGGCTACCTTATAGGGGCTGTTCGGTCCCTGTACAACTGGTGTCAGAGCTTGGTCCACATTGTCGGCAGTAAGTCTGACTCATTTCCGGTGAGGGTTGGACTCCGCCAGGGCTGCCCTTTGTCACCGATTCTGTTCATTCATTCTTTTTGGCCTCATCAGACCATGACCTTCGGCTCTCACTGGGGCAGTTCGCAGCCGAGTGTGAAGCGGCTGGGATGAAAATCAGCACCTCCAAATCCGAAACCATGGTCTTCAGCCGGAAAAGGGTGGAGTGCTCTCTCCAGGTTGGGGAGGAGGTCCTTCTCCAAGTGGAGAAGTTTAAGTATCTCGGGGTCTTGTTCACAAGTGAGTGAGGGAAGGATGGAGTGGGAGATCAACAGGTGGATCAGTGCGGCATCAGCAGTGATGCGGGTGCTACATTAGTCTATCATGGTGAAGAAGGAGTTGAGCCAAAAGGCAAAGCTCTTAATTTACCAGTCGATCTACATTCCTACCCTCATCTATGGTCATAAGCTGTATGTAGTGACTAAAAGAATGAGATCGCAAATACAAGCGGCCGAAATGGGCTTCCTCCGCAGGGTGGCTGGGCTCTCCCTTAGAGATAGGGTGAGAAGCACGGCCATTCGGGAGGGACTCAGACTAGAGCCACTGCTCCTCTGCATCGAGAGGAGCCAGATGAGGTGGCTCAGGCATCTGGTCAGGATGCCCCCTGGACGCCTCCCTGGAGAGGTGTTCCGGGCATGTCACACTGGGAGGAGGCCCCGGGGAAAACCCAGGACATGCTGGAGAGACTAACGCCTCAGAATTCCCCCAGAGGAGCTGGATGAAGTGGCCGGCGGAGAGGGAAGGCTGGGTTTCCCTGCTTAGACTGCTGCCCCTGCGACCCGACCCAGAAAAGTGGAAAATGATGGATGGATGGATAGATGGATGGATAAACAGAGGACAAACAAAGGTTAATGATTGTCACGCCCTGCCCATCTGACCCTTCTGTTTCCTCGCTAGCATGAATTATTTAAGCAACTCAAAACATATTTGTTTAGGCAGGCATTTGGGTAGCCTTGCTTCAATTACTTAATTTTTGTCTCATTCCTGCCCTTGTGTTAATCACTTCAGCTGTCTCTCATTTGCTCCCCTGTCAGTCTTATATAAAAGTGCTTTCCAGGCCTGTGCTCCCCAGCCCTGTCATTAACGTTGCTTCTGTCTGCCTGTGTCCATTGGTGTTTAGATCCCTCACGATCTGGTTTCTTTCTAAGTGTTAGTTTGTTTACTTTTACTGTAACATAACCCCTTTTGCTTTGCCCAAAGTACCTTCCCCCGGCTTTTTCATCCTGCACAACAACATTAAAGAATTGCTTTTAAATTTCTAAGGCAAATTTGAACTTCAAACTGAACAACATATTAAATATATAAATGTAAATAACTTAAGCCTGTGAGGCTGTGAATCAATTAAAAAAATAAGTAATCTGTTTTCTGTGATTAAATTGAATCCCCATATTAAATGTACAGATGTGGCTAAAAGTTTTGAGAATGACACAAATATTAATTTTCACAAAGTCTGCTGCATCAGTTTTTATGATGGCAATTTGCATACACTACATAATGTCATGAAGAGTGATCAGATGAATTTCGATTAATTGCAAAGTCCCTCTTTACCAAAAAAAATGAACTTAATCCAAAAAAAAACGATTTCCACTGCATTTCAGCCCTGCCAGAAAAGGATGTGCTGACATCATTTCAGTGATTATCTCATTAACCATGGTTACCTGCAAGGAAACGTGTGCAGTCATCATTGCACAATAAGTGATTCACAGGCAAGCATATTGCTGTTAGTAAGATTGTACCTAAATCAGCCATTTATCGGATCATCAAGAACTTCAAGGAGAGAGGTTCAATTGTTGTGAAGAAGAAAGACCAGCAAGTGCCAGGACTGTCTCCTAAAGTTGATTCAGCTGTGGAATTGGGGTACCACCAGTGCAGAGCTTGCTCAGGTATGGCAGTAGGCAGGTGTGAGTGCTTCTGCGAAGACTTTTGAAGGATGCCCTGATGTCAAGGAGGGCAGCAATGAAGCTACTTTTCTCTATGAAAAACGTCAGAAACAGGCTGATATTCTGCAAAATGTACAGAGATTGGACTGCTGAGGACTGAGGTAAAGATATTTTCTCTGATGAATCCCCTTTCTGACTGTTTCAGCCATCAGGAAAAAAGATTGTATGAAGAAGAAAAGGTGAGCACTAAAATCAGTCCTGTGTCATGCGAACCGTAAAGCTTCCTGAGACCATTCATCGTGTGGGGTTGCTTTTCAGCCAATGGAGTGGGTTCACTCACATTTTTGCCTAAAACACAGCCATCAATAAAGAATGGTACCAAAACATCCACCGAGAGCGACTTCTCCCAACCATCCAAGAACAGTTGGGTGACCAACAATACCTTTTCCAGTATGATGGAGCACCATGCTGTAAGGCAAAAGTGATAACTAAGTGGCTTGGGGAACAAAACATCAACATTTTGGGTCCATGGCCAGGAAACTCCCCAGATGTTAATCCCATGGAAAACTTGTGGTCAGTCCTCAAGAAGCAGGTGGACAAACAAAAACCCACAAATTCTGACAAACTGCAAGCATTGATTATGCAAGAATAGGCTTCCATCAGTCAGGATTTGATCCAGAAGTTGATTGACAGCATGCCAGGGTGAATTGCAGAGATCTTGAAAAAGAAGGGCTCAATAAAGACAATTTTTGAGATGCACACCAAGTCTCTAGCCAGCGGTTTAGGGACAGTAGCCTACTATAGGTTACATCCCCTCTATACAGAATTGATAAGAGACCAAACATAGTTAGACTACGGCATTTTATTTTGGCTTTTGCACACATAGAAATTAAGCTCCTCTTTAATACCGCAAATTGTCTCAACTTTATATCATTATAGTTACAGCATAAACAACCAAGGTGGAGATTCAGATTCATCCAGATTTAGAATACTTTATTGATCCCTGGGGAATTTATGTGGATGCAGTTGTGCACTGCAGCCTGGATCGTTGGGCCCTGAGAAGGTCAGTGAAAGGATCTTCCACGGACCTGAACCCTTTGATAAAGCACCAGTATAATTTCAAAAACCAAAGGAAGCATTGCAAATCCTTCACTGTGCGGGGTTGGGGCCAATCCTGGGTGACTTTTTCCTTCTCATCCATTTCTACTCCTCCAGGTCATATCTGGTATCCTAGAAACGGGATAGCGGTCTTATGGAACTAACATTTTTCCCCCTTGATGTAGAGGTGATGGTCCTTCAGGCGCTGGAGTACCCTCTGGACATGGGACACGTGCTGCTCAAGCAAATATTCGTACTGACCAGTAGATGTTATGAACAATGTTTTCCACTCATCCCCTAGTCGGGGCAGAAGAGGGAGTACAGATGCCCGATGGCCCGAAGCTCGATGGCACAGTCTGAAGGATGGCCTTTAATCTACACCTCCCAGAACTACTGGTACTAGGGTGGAATAGTAGACACTTCCTCTGGTCAGGGACTCTCCACTGACAACACTCTACATGGCAGCAAAAGACACTTCCCAAAACTCTCAGACAAGGCCCAGATTCCCTCCACCTTCAAGTCTAGGTGAGGATTGTGTTCCTGCAACCAGGGGTAACCAAGGATGATTCGGTCACAAACTGAACAGAGAACCTGGAGTTGGATAGATTCTCCATGAATAGCCCCTACCTGGATCTTCAGGGAGGCAGTCTGGTGAATGACCCAAAAGGCAGTGAGCAGAGAACCGTTGACACCTTGAACAGTAAGGGTGGCAATCACAGGTGATCAAAGACCTCATGGAACACACTCTGGAATGCTCTTGAGGATTGCAGCAGTATGCTGTTTTCCATCTGAAGTGCTGTTGTGCACTCCAGTGCTCAACCACTGAACAACAAGATCACAAGATGCACTTAATCTTGGTCATTGGGAAACAGGGTGGTGATCTATATATAGTCCACACTGCATCAGAAAGGCCCAGCAGGTGTCGGGATTGCTGTTTTACCTGTTTGGTATCGCCACTCCTACAGCAGTGGATCAATGGGGCATAGTAGCCGGGAGTGGTGCAGTGGCTGCCATGCCCTGCTAGATCTGTCCAGCCAGGTCTGTGAACTGGGCGATCAGAGCCAGGACATTCTGCAGAGGGATCCATGGTGTTCAATGAGGTATTCTGTAACAGAAAACTTGCAGATGGACAGAGATGTCTTGGTGGTTTATTGGACACCTACCGTAAACAACCAGTAAAGGAACAGGCAGAGAGAACAAATATTACAAATCATGATATTTTTAAGTTTCCATCTGGTGATTATTTAAAATGAAATAAAAACTAGGTAACATCAGCTTCACCTCATTCAAACTGGCTCTGGAAGCCAGTCCATAGGACTTATGAAAATGTACAATATTAATAAAAATAAACACTTTTAACCTATGATAAACTTCCTCACTGTCGATGATCATATAACTACAAAAAAATGGCCAAAATACACAGTAAACTCACAAGAGAACCTGTATTGTGCCAACACCTGAACATATGAGTAGACTGATCTGGTTCCAGAGTTATCTGCAGAGAAAACCGTTCAGGATATTTGTGCTTTGAATTGAAAATGTTCACTGTATTCTTCATGACAGGGAACATGAGAACCATCAGAGGATTGGTCAAAATTTAAAATTTAACCATACTTAATCATTTTGGTGCCACGTTACAATAAGGCTACCCTTATAAACAGTTTATGAATGGTTTATAATCTGGTTATTTATTAAGTTGTAACACATTGTAGATTATTAGTAGACAATTTTAAACAAGTTATAACACAGTTTTCTTTTTTAATGAAATACTTGATTACAAGTGGACAAAGGGAGCCTTATTGTAAAGTGGTTTCTAACTATAGTTATCTGGACACGCTTCACCAAGAACTGTGCTGAGAGTTTCACTCCAGGAGAACACATGACCATAGACGAACAGCTGTTCCCTACCTAGGTTCATTGTCCACGCAGTATATCACATCCAAGCCAGACAAATTTGGGATCAAGTTCTGGATGGCCACGGATTTGGAGACCAAATACGTCTGCAACGTATCCCCTTACTTGGGAAAGGACCCCAGTCGTCAGAAGGGGGAGAGGCTGGCAGAGAACATTTGCATTTAAAAAATGCAAATGTTCCAGGCCTAACAGGTAATGGGTGGTTTGCACAACAAAAGACCTGTGAAAATCTCAGCAGGGGTGAAGAACACCTCGGGACTTGCACCAGAAAATAAAATCTCAATAATTCTAGTGTTAAGGCACTGCTGAATTTAGCCTCTAAGTCCCTTTGAAGTATAGGATGTGCCTCTTATTATGCTGAAAAAACATTTGGATATTTTGTGCCTGTATGATCACTAATGTGTAGGATATATACCGGTCTGTATGTGTGTAATAACACAGGTCCTTTTGCAGGCTGAACAGCTGTAAACTCAAAGAGAAATGCTGTGATTCGCTGGCTTCAGCTCTCAGATCAAACTCCTCACCCCTGAGAGAGCTGGACCTGAGTGACAATGACCTGCAGGATTCAGGAGTGAAGCTGCTCTCTGCTGGACTGGGAGATTCATACTGTAAATTGGAGACACTGAGGTCAGTATTACTGAACATTATACACTGTAAACTACATAATATTTTAAGGAGTCAATTTTACTGAGTATTTCATTTCATTAACTGAAGATACCAAGGTCTGTATTAGTGAGTATTCTGCACTGTTAACTATAAATATTGAGAGTAGTCACATTTACTTAAAAGTAATCCTTGTATTGGTGAAATGATCTTATTTATTGTAGAGTTTTTTCTGTATTTCTGTAGGCTGTCAGGCTGTAGAGTCACAGAGAGAGGCTGTTCTTCCCTGGCTTCAGTTCTGAGGTCAAACTCCTCACAACTGAGAGAGCTGGATCTGAGCTACAATCACCCAGGAGACTCAGGAGTTAAGCTGCTCTCTGCTGTACTGGAGGATCCCAGCTGTAAACTGGAAAAGCTGAAGTGAGTACCATACCATACCAAGTTTATTTATAAAGCACTTTAAAACAACCACACAGGACCGAAGTGCTATACAGAGAATTTAAAATGAAACAACTAAAATTATGTAAATAACAGTTCATAAAATAGGCATATATACAAAATAAGATAATATACCATCAAATAAAATAAATTAAAATCAACATCTCACAATGGGTCGAAAGCCAACAAAAAGAGATGGGTTTTCAGGCGGGATTTAGAAACAGACAGAGAAGAAGCCTAACATGCATGGTCAAATCATTCCACATTCTAGGAGCTACAACAGTGAAAGCGCGGTCCCCCCTATGCTTACGCTTAGTTATAGGCACCCTCAGGAGCAGCTGGCCAGTTAACCTGAGCGACCGGGAGGGTATGTAAGGGTGTAACAGCTCAAAGAGGTAGGGAGGGGCAAGACCATAAAATAATTTTAAAATGAATCCTAAAATGTACAGGCCAGGTGTCAGTGGCTCATTCATACACATGAAAGTTGCTACATATTCAATGAAAGGAGCCAGAAATAGTGACATGAGTTAGGTTTTTCTTATTTATTTATCGAAATGAATGTTGCATCTACACCATTTAGTCATCTTCATGTAGCCAAGACTTTGCTGATCATATATCTGGGATCAAAACAAATATTGCTTACTATGTGCTTTTATAATGTTTCTGCAAGTGTTCCAAACTGCATTTTGCAATGTCTATACTTTGATGTCAAATTACAAGCTTAACATAAATCTGACATATTTACAAAGTACACTAAGATTAAGATGAGTTTTATGCCAAAACAAATATATAAGAAATAATTTATTTGCCATGAATGAAGTTTATGATATTGAATGAAATGTGTGACCATGCCCCAGTCAGTGAAAGTGTGTCCCCTACCCCTAGACTCCAGAGGGTTAAAGGGACATAAATCTGGCAGACGTCTGCGTAGCAATGAAAAGCTATGTCATGCTTCCTAAGTATGGATCCGAGTGGGAGCAGATATAAAAGAAAAAGCAAGGGACTTAAAACTGAGCCCTGTGGGGCAGAGGACAGAATGGGAGCAGAGGAGGACACATGGTCACCCATGCTGACACAGAAAGTTCGATTCACCAAATATGACTTAAACGATTCTAGAGCTAAACCCGCTGATGCCCACCCACTGCTCCAAACGGGAGAGTAAAATAGCATGATCCACCGTATCAAAAACATAAGAACATAAGAACTATACAAACGAGAGGAGGCCATTCGGCCCATCGAGCTCGCTTGGGGAGAACTTAACTAATAGCTCAGAGTTGTTAA